ATGTGGGCCAGCTAAGAGGAAGGGAATGAAAATGAAATGCAACTGAAGATCTTGATTTCAAAGAACAAAAGTGTAAAAAAATGAAAGGGAAAATAAAAGCTAGGGAAAACGAGGATAGAGAAAGGAAAGAAACCTCAGGGATTCATGGGTGTTACATTTTCTCAGTACATGGGATTATGAGAAAGTAAACACCAATTTAAAAGAGGCATCAGAAACAATAGATGAAAAGTTTATGCAGGGAAAGAAATTTAGTGAAATGGGAAGGAAGCAAAAGATGTGCTTAATTATTTTTTGTTTTCATTTTGTTAAGTGTAGTGACATAATTCTTTTATTTCCTGTGGGTTGTTAAGAGGCACTTCTTTGCAAATCAAGAAGACAGCGCCAAGTATTTCAGATGCTTTTTACATGTGTTCCATGGGCTGGCTGCTAAGAGTTAAGGTGTGGATGCATTTGTCAGTGTGAGAATGGCCCTGTCTGGTTTCATCTGGCTTTCATGCTGTCTCTGGAGAATTAATGGAACAAATTCATTTCCATCGATTCCAGTGAAGCTGCACTGCAAGTGAATCAGAACCACTCTCATTGCTAAATGTAGCTGTTGCCCTATGAACCCCTGGTCTAAAGTGTTCTTCAGGTTAAACCTGGAATGTTTTGTGATTAAACCAAAAAAATAAGACAAAAGCTCAATTGTTATGAACACTCTGAGTATGGTATGTTGGTGTGCAGGCTGTCCAGAGGAGTGGCAAGGGGAGGTGGACCATGAGAAGAGTCAGGTGGAAATAACCAATACACACAGAGTTCAGGGAGCAGACTGCTTTTCTTTGCAAATTGTCCTGAGCTGCAATGAAAATCATTGGCAAAACATTTTTGCAGGGTCCTGTGGCCTGTTTGCTTTGGCTCCCTCAGGTTTGCCCTCTCTTATCCCAACCAACCCCCTCTACTTCAACATCTCTCCAAATTCAGGATGGTTCCAGTTCTTCACCTTGCTTCATATCTCTTCTTTGCACCCCAAAACTTATTTTGGGCTGAATCACTCTTACCTCAACTCATTGTCCTAAATTAATCTTTTGTGTAATTCAACTGACTAAAATTGACGTAAATTGAGTTACATCAGAGCTGAAATTAACACAGTCTGACTAAAATAGCACCTGCCTTTTCTACCAAACCAATGCCTGTCTCTTCCCCACCTCCACCCACATACCATGATATTAACATTTCTTTCTCCTCATTGCTCTTTCCCTTATCCCACTGCCACAAGCAAGCTGTGCTCTCAGTGGTCAGCATTGCCCTCTCTGCTCCAGCATCCTGTTCTCCTTCCTCCCACGGCACACACTGTTGGTCCCTATTAACAGCTTTGCCTGTGTCCAAGCCCATGCAACAGCTTTGCATCTTGTGTTGGATTTTCCTGTCCTTCACCACAGAGATGCACCATCTGAGTTCAGAGCCTATTTGCACTGGGCACTTCCTGTACCTGTAGAAATTATAGTCTTACTCCAGAGAATTTGCAAATCAGAGTGCCATGATGTACAAACAGGAGGAGGGAAATTAAATGAAGGTGATGTTATTTGCCAAAGGTGGCCTAGCAGAACAATGGCAGAGTTGTGGGTGTCACACTCAAAGCCTCTCTTTCTTTTCCATTACTTCCTTTAAGCCAGCATGGCATTTTTAATCGCCTCTTTTAGCCCCTGTCTTTGGGCCCTCACCCAGAGGTAAAACATCTCCTCTGCTTGCTTTCTCATCTCCTTTGGCTTTCTGACTTCCTTCAGCTTGCCCTTGGAGCCTGCTCATGTTGGCTAGGCTTTCTTCACTCCTCTTGAAAAATCCTAGTGTTTGCAGCCAAAAATAAAATATGGCTTCTCTGGTTGAGCCTGTACTTTACGTCCGGCAGCTTGCTCCACCCTTTGCATCTGGGTATCTCTCTGGGGCAAGGATTTATTCCATAATTGCTCTAACTTATTTATTATCATGGCATATGTATCTGCAGTGTTATGCAAACTGTAAAAGCTCCTAGTTCTAAAGGTCAGCATGTGTTTACCTTCCAAACACAGATGAGCTCAGAACAAAAGGGAATGGATGGCTCATGAGGAGATGAAGTCGGGGAATCACTCTGCTCTAACTAATTTGCCAAGGCACTGTTCACAAAGCTAAGTTTCCTAGTGCTGCAGACAAGCAACCCAATCCAACCTCACTGTCTTCCAGATGAGTGAATTAATTTCCCAGCACTGCTGTGTAGTCCCATAGCAGTGGAGAGCAGCATGTCCTAGACACACAGAGCAGAATGTTTCTCATCCTAAGTGTCAGTCTACTGAATCTCCCATGCTGGGACTTACACGTGGAGCTTCTTGTTCTGCAGTGTTGGGTGCCAGCTGTAGCTTCCTGGAGGGGGTGGACAGAGGCTGGAATGTTGTAGAGACTGCTGTGGTAGATTTATCCCCAAGTTCACAAGAGCCTTGCTGCAGTTAATGGCCTTCAGAAGCCGGAAAGCCTCTGTGCTACCTGGTGACAAAGGCCACCAGTACATCCCACACATGGCTTGTCACAGTGCTACCCTTAGCACTGGCATGAGTGATTGCTGAGCTACGATTTGCTTTTCACATTGCTCTGAAGTGTTGAAATAAGATCTCAAGGTAATTACCTTACCTGAGCTCATGAAGTGACCCCACTACATCCTATATGCGATTTCCAGGAGGACTAGAGATAAATTAAATGTTTGTGAGATATGCAAAGTGATAAGCCGTTATTTGCAGTCCTTCTCAAGATCATCTTCTGTCTAGTCAAAGCATTTACTGTACTTAGGTCAATTGCCAGCATGAAGGGAAAAAATAAATCTTTTCTTCCTCTACTAATTGACAGCCTCAACTAACTGGAATTAGAACCATGAAGATTGGACACTCTCATTCTGATTGTCAGACCGGAGAGGCTCTGCTAGGGATAGGGATCTTCCACAGGTTGCACTCTTCCCCAGGGGATGCAGCTGCTTCTCCAGTAGAAGAATATAAATACAGGAGAGTGGGAAGGAGGTGTGGGGGTCTGGCAAGCAGAAACCTGTTCCTGAGCCAGCCATGCTGGAAGAGTAAAAGGAAAAATGCTCAGGGTCATTCTCAAGGGAAGAATTTTAAAAGATCCCACCTAAGCATGACAGGGAAAATAGAAAAGTGTAGGTGAGTAGGATAAGATAAACATAAGGGGAGAAATAAGAGTTCTTCATCATCAGAAGGGGTACAGGAATATGGATAAACTTAGAGCTGTGGCTTATTTCTGCTGCAGCTTCTCCTCCCCCTCCCTTCCTCCTATGTGTTTTGCATGAGAGTGCAGCACAGTAACCTGTCACAAGCTTGAAATAAAGAGTACTGGGGGACAATCTGTCTGAAAAATACCCCTCTGCCAGAAAAAAAAAATCTTAAATATGATGATCAAAATGTTCAGGTATTAACAGATGAGAATGGTTTATGAATCTGGATTAGCTCAGAATCCATCTGAGTATTTTTAAACCTCTAAGACTGAAAGCCATAAACCTTCCTAAGAGAAATGCCATTTATTTTAAAATGAGCAGCAAAATCTTGATTAATTGAGTTGCAAAAGAAATGGATCTAAAAACAGACACTGGAGGAACATGAGTGCATTATGCATTTGGGTTTTGCTTTTGGAAAAATTCAAAACCACATCTTGTTGCCAATTCTGATCTGAAAATATGATTTTCAAAGCCTGAATTAAGGTGTCCATAAACACAGGGAGGGATTGTCCAGGTCACTATGGGGACCTGTGACATTGTCTCAGGACCAGGACCATCATCATGCCTCTGGTCAGTTGGCTGAGAAGTTCTTCCCTACTGAAGTCCAAGCAGAAATGTCTCTAGTATCAAAACAAAGGTGCTCTGCTGGTTTCCCTGTGCATGGCTTTGGGGTGCCCAGGGTGTGCCCCTGCATGGAGGGATGCTGTGGCCTGGGACAAAATTCTGCTGTGCAGTGTCTCAGTCAAGCCACATGGTGGTTTGGCCACACAAAGAGCAGCTGGAAGAGAGGCAGGGAACGTCGCCTGGTTCTTTTTCTACGACCTCCCTTCAGCATTTATAAAGGAAAAAAAAAGGCAAATTAATTTTGAACATGAATTCCTGTGAAGTTTTGCTTTCACACCTCCAACATATCTGTCTGGAAACAGCCTTTCCAGGGGGAGGTTTGGTCAGCTCCTTTTATTTGTCTTCTCTGACTCATGGGAGTCACTTGTGCCCACACGATCTGCCTGCACTGTGGCACTGTTGGACAAAAGCACTGGCAAGTGAAAGGCAGGGATCTTCTGGAGCTAGTAGCGCTTCTGATAAGGTCATGAGCCACTGATTTCTCCTTTGCACTTCTTCATTGGATGTTTTTAAGCTAAATACACATCTGAGTCCCATGTATGCTGATCAGTAAAGGGTATCTTCAAAACCAAATTAACACCCTTCTAGCATATCTTAAAATCTTCTGTATCTTTCTTTATATTCATGAATTACAGATCAACTTGTTCCATCTCCAGGTCTAAGCCTACACTTCAGCTTCCTGCATCTCTGCTCAGAGGGTTCCCTT